TTAAGGGCCCAAAACCAGTAGTAGTTGAAGAAGGGGAAAGGCATAAATCCTGGCAAATATTCTAGGAAGATACATTTGAATTGTGGGCCCTCTAGTGGTGTAAATAAAGTTTGAAAGTAACTGGTGCCTTGATAATTTCAGATGAGCTGGTTTACACAAAATCTAAACTAGCAATGGTCATTGTGATATATGAAATATTAAAAAATAAACTCAACGATACTCCCCTATGCCTTCAGTTACATTCGTTAATTTATCTGGCACAAACATTATGTAATGATATGGCTGTACTCAAACAGTTTATCTGACTAAAAAAACACTAGAAACATCAATGCCACAGTATAAAATGCTGAATCATCACTTTTTTTTCTAACACTGTTGATCTGATTAGAATTGTTATTCCTTACTCTAACTTAGAGTGCTTGTTTTAGCTTTCCCATGAGTTTCAACTTAGGTGTGATGCATGTTTACATCATTACAGTACGTCATCAAGACACAATGCAGAAGTAAGCCTTATTGGGTTTTAAATAATACTTTTTTTCAATGCATTTGGTATCATTTTTCACAATCACACATAACATCACAGTAAATTCTTGTTATCGAACTCTCCTTAAATTCACCTTTGTTTAATTTACTTCTAGAGGATTTGATAAAAACAGTACGTTTTCCAGATACAGTATATGAGGAAGTGCAAAAGTATTTTGATTTCTGCATTTATAGTTTGTGAAGTCAACCACTCTTTGTAAAATATGTCCTTAATCTTACTTATCACAGAATTGTTAAAAAAAACTTTCAAAAGTATTAAAGAATAGAGTTGATATACAGTAATTTGATTTTTTTGGCCTGCTCATGCATGATGTTTTTGAATTTTATGATTCAATTGATCAATTGATGAAGAAACTACTTCTTGGTCACTTTTGTCTTTTCTGCCTTTTCCTCTAGATCTAAACCCAGGTGAGTTTTTTTTTCTGGGGATTTATAAAAGAAGTTGAAATTCTTTCCATTGTGGAGAGGCTGTTGAAGCAAAGCAGAACTTCTTGGAAGACTTTTGCTCTCTGTATTATTAACAAATTTAATTAAGTATTGTAATTATCATAACATAATGCTAATGTTCTTTTTCCTTTTTACTTATAATATCCTTCTATTTATTTTCTTATGTAGCTATATTTCTATTTCATTCTGATTTTCTAAATGTTATACTTTTTGATGTCTTATTCACTTTCGATCTTTATTTCTTATCAAGTCACTGATGTTTTTTATGCTTTAAGTTATGTTAGAGAGTGTTAGATTGAGAGTGTTACATTGTTTTGGCTGTTTCTAATTATTTTGTCTCTCATATATTTCAATCAAATCGTTTGAGTGGTCAACACCTAATGTGTACAGTATACAGTATATCACTCTATATGATGAAAAGCACATACTGTATGCCCAGTACATCATTGCTGTCAGATTGTGATTGGTGTACTTTTTTCACATCATTTAAGTATATAAACCCACCTGTGCCACACGCAAAAGCGAAAAAGAAGAAGAAAGACAAGACAACAACCATAGGGCCTGGACTGTGGACCTTGGGGACTCCATGAGCACCTCTTCTGCTCTCTCGGGAAGAAGGGTAATATCCCTTCCTTTAAGCAACCAGGCAATAAACTTTATTATTTTAACAATTTCTGTTAAATTAATTAACAATTATTTTTTTAATAGTCAGTAATTAAAATAACATTTTAGTCATACATTGGCAGAGGCTTCTGTTCTCTCTCTCAAACCTAGAGAAAATGAGAAATCTTTAAAGGGGGACAAAATACTAAAGAGTTCATTTCAGTTTCACCCCAATAATTTATTAAAATCTAGTCGAAACAGGAAGATGTTTAAAAGCAGATGGTGAACATAAAATACTAGAAAAATATTTTTACATTAAAACATTCTTAGTATATTTTTAAAAGTTCAAGAAAATATACAATTAATAAACATCATATATAATCTTTTCTTGAATATTTCTCTAATATTTTCTTATTCTCTAAGCAGATCATTTATACTCTGTAAATATTTTGCATGTGTCATTGCATTGCTTTGTATTTAAACGAAATTTGTGTGTATTGATTGTAGACGTCTGTGTATTGTATACAGCACATTGTTCCAGGGTAAGAGAGTGGAAAATTAGTGTGAAAGCACAGCAAAAATGAACAACAAAACAGGACCACAAAAAAGTTTCTTGAAGGGAAAAAAAACTTTATTTTTTTTCCTTTTTACAAAACATTTGAAAGGTTACCTAATCTCAATAATTAAATTTTAATATAGATCTGCAAGCAGCATGTCATTGAACTAAAAGTAAAAAAAAAAAACTAACTTTCTGTTACAGCTTCAAACAGCAGAAGATACAGAAGCACATACAGGATCTTGTTTTTTGCCGCTCTAGTACAGGAAAAAGAAAAAGAAATGTTGGTGGTACATTGAACCCAGAAAGAGAGACAAAGAACATTATTTGTTGTTTCCTGGATCTCATGCATCAGAAAATAGTTCTAATGACTTTTGAACTGCATGCTTTTTTCTTTTAGTTGATTCCCCACCAATGTAAAAATACAGAATGACACTGGCAAACACAAATGGATAGAACAGAGAAATGACCGCCTCTGTCTTCTTTATACGAGAGTACTTAATTAAGTTTGAAAATCTCTTCTCGGCTCATACAATGTGGATGCCAATTCCTAGATTGCACTCATTTGTTTCTTACAATGGTTTTATTTTTATTTGAAAGAATACTGCTTCTTTTTGTTTTCAGAGGGGAAGAATTTTGAGCAAAACCGACTGGGTTCATTTCTTACCTACTGCCACGATGTACCTGCATTTTAACTACATTTCAAAGAAAACCCAATGGATGAAATACACCAGTCTTCACAAAAGCAATTTCTGTCGGAATGAATCAAAAAAGTATGTATTCATATTTTTCAATTATTCACATATTTTATTTCATGATTGTCTGTAGAATGAATATTGCTGGAGACAGTCTAACAACAAACCACAAAATAAATAGTCAATTATATAAAAAAGAAAGCCTCTGTTATCAACCAGCAGAGAAGCCTACTATTGCTATCATTATGTAATTACTACAGTTTTAATAAAAATTGCAATAATTTATAGTGGAGGGATTTCTGTACACAGTGGCTTCGTTTCCCTAATGGACATTGGGCACAAGTGACTGACTCTGGTGTATGGACGTTTCTGTTGATTCCAGAGATGAGAAGAAAAATGCTAATTTTTCCGGCAGCCTCAGGGTGCAGCCCTCCCCCACCGCCCGCAAGAGATCTTAAAATGGACACAGACACTTTGGTGCCAGAATTCTTCTGGAATGTAAAATGTTTCACCTACACTTCAGTTCTGAGTTGGTTTGGGCATAGCTCCTATGTAAATATTTAAGGGCATTTTAGTTGGTTCTGTGCACACTGGTGTGGTCTCAATTTTTAAAAAATGTAACTCTCTAACCTCTAACTACAATATATAAATGAGTAAATAAGCTAAAATTTACTGTAAGTTTATAAAATGTTGTACATAGGATTGCTACCTCTTACTGACAAAAATTGGTTTGAACTTGGTTTGAAAGCTTTCTAAGAACCCAATGAACCCTACACTTACTGCAACAGTTCTTACCTGCATATAAACATATGCACTGGGTGTTGCTTCTCCTTGACTCTTCTCCTAGACTAAATTTATTGTTGAGAAAACCAACTTTTTAATTATTTTAATTGTATGTTATACAGATACTTCCCAACGTGAGGGATATGTTCTGCAAAAGTTTACTTAAGCCAAAATTGATATGGTTACACGGAGGAACTCTTATACTGTACGTAAAAAATTTCACCTTTTATCATTATTATACTACTGTAATTATACAAAACTACACTTTTCAAATCAGCAGAGCACCTTTCAGTTGCTTGAAAGGCTACCATAGCAAAAACACGGCAGAAATTATTTAAGACAACACACACAAGGCAATGTAAAGCAAAATATGGGTGCCTCTTATGCACTAATGTAAATTGTCACATCTCAAGATCTTGTGTTGTAACTGTATTCTGCAGGAATATGAGTTTTTCTTAGTGGTATTGAACAAGTGTTTCATTATCTGCTTCAACACCATTTCTCTGTTTGTGTTTGCATTCTAATTTAACCATCCTAAAATTTCTACTTCACCAAATATCGAATGTAGAGCCATCTACAGTATAAGTTAAGTTACCTGCTGATTTTGACATCATCATTACAGTTAATTGTCTGTTGCTGCTGTGGATAGCCAGTAAAATATGCTGATGGAAAAAAGAAATGCAACACACTGGCCCTTCGTCTGTGTAGAACAGGCTGAAGAGTGACTAATCCATGAAGAGGACCTGATGCCACTGCTGACGAGTCCATTGCGGCCTCTGTCTGGCCAAAGCCAGTCGGGTGTGACATCTAGGAGGTGTGAGCAGAGGGCCTCCGACTGGTTGTCTTGCTCTAAGGCCAGCAGCATGGAGCCTCACTGTCCTGTCACTGATGCGGGCATTGTGTCTGCCGGCAGTTTCAGCAACGGTATGGGTGGCAGATCTGGAACAATCTCTCGGATGGACCAGTCTGATGTGTCAGTCCTGCTCTGGTGTGGTCACTCAAGGGCGACCGGATCTTGGATGGTCATCTGTCCTGCCGGTCTGCCGAAACTTTCTTTGCAGCTGAACGGCTTACTCCATAGTGTCTGGCAACGCTGGCACATGACATGCCTGCCTGCAGCATGCCAATGGCCCTCTCCCTTGCTTCTGGTGACATTCAAGTCATTATGGAATACACAGAAAACTGACTAAGTGTGGCCTTTTTCTTGCAGTGACCTAAGCTTTGAATTAAGGCCTTTTTAAAGGTGACATGATCAGGCATTGTTCCATCCGGACCTCGTTGGGTAAAAGTGCACCTGACAAGCTTTTGTGTGATTGGCATGTTGCAATGCCTCACTGCACGAGCTGTACTGCTGGTCAGAGGGCTTAAAACAAACTGACAACTTTTTGTGAAAGTACATAAGCTATAGCTATAGTATTCTCTTTCCAGAAAATGTTGTGTTTCTTATTTCCATCAGCATATAAGAAATAACTTTGCATGGTAATAAAGGTGTGCATATGCTAACAAAAGAGGTTGCAAGACTTCATCTGTAGCAGAATAGCTCACAGTTCAGGAAGAGGGAGAAAGATGTGTAAACAAAATTAAACAATTCAGGTGGGTAGATGCATCAGCATGCGTAGTCTGCAAAGGAACAAGTGATAGGTTTCATGCTGAAAAAAGGAGAGAAAACACAACATTTCGGCTGGGAGGCCTTCTTCAAATGCCACACTTGACAACTTTCTTTTCAGCATGGAATAAACCCATTACTTGTTCCAATATTGAACAATGGATGCTAAACTTCTCAGGAGGGACCAGAAATTCTGTACATTTAATGTTCAGGGAAGTATTATAGATTTCCCAGACACTGAGCTCAAAAAGAGAACAATCCTGGCCAAAACCAGGATGAATTCCTGGGATATAATTAATATTTAATATTATATTATTAAACATGTCAGTAGAGCAATTTTCACATAAGACAATTCAGAAACAACACTTAAAGTAAGAGGTTTCAAATGGCATACATTTTTTCAAATTTTTAGTTCCAGCAGTACACGAGTCAACTTGTATTGCTTATATTTTAATTTATGATATTGTGTCCCTGTAAATACTGTAGGTTGAAAATCTGGAATTTCATTTTTTCAAATACAATACTGGTTGCACTCCAGTGAAAGCCCTTATTCTATTCGGAATTTTATAAAATAGATGTGTGTTTAAATTGGCCAGCCTTAGAAAAAGTTGTCTTTTATTAAATCTATACAGTCATTACTGTATGGTTCCTTCTTAATATCACAATGATCTGTAAACAAACAGTCACTAATAATCAACATAAAATTCACAAGCACTCTTCAGAAAGCTTAATCATGCTTGACAAACGACCATTAATGTCTTCTAGCTGTGTTTTCATCTAAACAACATTTGAAAACTAGATTTATTCATTTCAATGAAAATTTAAACACTAATAAAAACAAAAATTACATTATGTTTTAAAAGACAATAAATAGCAATGTATTATTTTATAAGTGTAAAACTAAGTCACTAAGTGAAAAATTGCAGATTAATACTGATAAAGAGCATCTAATGGTAATACTATTACAAATATCAGACCTTTCATTGTTTAAAGTCTGTTCATATAGAACTCATTGCATCTCACATTTTTTCTTTGAATGTTAGTGATCTAAGCTAGCTTTTCTGTTTCCTGTGTAGTGAGTCTCCAACAATGAATACTTCAATCATGAACTGTAACTTTTTAAAGGGGTACTTATTATTAACATTGCTTTTCTTCAGAAGTTATTGTGAATTGTGATCAGGTTATCGATGGTTCTGGCCAATGTGAAGATTAAAGATTGCTGAGTGAATACCTTAATTTTTCATTTCCCTAATATACAATATTAATAACAACTAAACTTGTTCTAATAGTAAAGAATAATAGTTGAACCTCTGAATAAATAGCTTATTCTCAGAACATGCATACTGTATATGATAACTCTTGAACATATGTGAGATGTCTGTGTCTGAATCACTAGACATTCCAGTGTTTCTTTACACAGTGGTATTTGTTGCTTCTGATGCATGGTACTGTATGAGGCTGCCTGAAAATAAAATGATCTTGCTTTGCATGTTATGGTTTAGTTACATTTATAGTAGCATCTGCAAAATCTTAAAATTGCTGTTTCATGTAATTAGGTTAAACAAGATATTAATTTACATAAATTATTTTGTCAAAGGTGCTACATTCAATATCCTCTCTGGTACTTGAAGACCATTTCTGCAATATGTGCAATAAAAGGCCCCAGCTTGATCACTTCAAGTTTTCCAAGACCATTTGCAAAGTCACTTGCTGTAAAATAATCACAACTTATAAATATTATAATATGAAATTGAGCTTTATGTCAAAGGCTTGAACATATAACCTGCATTTTGAATAATTTGACTCTGGGAATCACGAGACAAAATCTCTAACATAAGGGCTATTATAAACACCACCAACAGAATAATCAAAATAAAATAAAATTAAACATTTATGTAACAGCCAAAAACAAAAACAGCTTTCATCAAATATGCAGTCATTGAAAAAGACATTGTTATTTGCTGACCCAAAATAAATTTTAAAAATGAAAAAAAAAGTGGAACAATCATGTGTAAGAGGCAGGAAGACTACTAGTAGGAAATATCAACACTGCCTCCAGGGCTCTAAACTGAACCCTTAAACATTCCAGTGGCCCTAAAGCATTTGGTTCACTCCAAATTATTAAAAAATAAATGATGATGAAACAAATTCTGATCACACATGATAACATCTAAAGTATTCCAGAGACTCAGGAAAGAACTGTTGTTTTTTTGTGCTGTGTGTGAGTTTATGTGTAATTGAATGTTCATGTTTATATACTGTATGAACAACACTTAATGCTTTAACTGTAGAAATCAGAGCTCACATTTCTGGAAAATAGAAATCTTAATCTCCAGAATAATCTTAATTACATTTTTTGGGGAATAACTGTCTTTTCCAAAGGATTTAGAAAATGTTAATGTACTTTGTGTGTTCAAAAGATTTGCATTCACACAGCATTCAGGGGTGAAAAAGGTACTATTGGGGAAAAATGTATTAGAGCCCTATTGGTTTTCGATTTTCACTAGCTGTAGCATAGGTTAAAATTAGGAAGTGGTGAAACTACAACAAGCTCTAACAGGGGCTTTTGGTGACGACGAAAATAAGGTCTAAAGCATTAAAAATGCTAAAAATTTCATAGACTTTAAATCAACCCATTGCTAAATAAAATTAGTTACAATGACACCATTATATAGGTAACATTATATAGATGTAAGAAAGCTCCTTTTGATGAAAGTAACTCTCTTAATTGACAAATAAAAAGGTTTGTAATACTGTATGTAAAACCTTTCTTTCAAATGACATAGAGGTGTTATTCAAATGCTTTATTTCCCCATAATGCAGTTACTGTATGTATTTTTCTTTTCACTTTCTGTGTTTAGTTAATTGGCTTTCCAGTTTACCAAAATAAAAAACATACATACAGTACAAACTGACTAAATTGAGTCAAAGTGTGTAGTACTGTACTTGAATCATACTTTAAACTGTATGATTAATGTAAAAAATGAATGCAAATTCTGGTCCGATAACACCTTCTAAGTCTCATCCCTCCTGCACACACATACAAGCAAGTATGCATTCCATTAATCATTTTGAGGTTGAATTTGTGAGATGCACAGGTATAAGGTACCTGGGTGACTCAAGTTACTGCTAGGGGTTTTTAGAAGTGATAAGCAATATTTTATCACTTGTAAATCACTCATTCTTTGTTCATTCTTTGATGCTGTAAAGACTGCTTAATGTCAGGTTTTCAAGTGCCTACAGCGTACGACACACATAAAAATAAAATCAAACATTTACAGCAAATTAATGTTTATGCAGAGCACCAGCTACTGGCATGTACAGTACTAGAGTGTCAAAAAAGTAAAGTGTCCTTTAAAACAATGGAAAAAGCAGGTCTGGAGCATCAAGTTAACAACTTGGGTATGGAAGGAGGAACATTAATCTGGAATATATAAACGTGTACATTATAGAATAGAAATAAGTTGTCATCACTTAAAAGCAGGATAGCTGAATATAGAGAGAACAAACTAGGTGCAATGCCATTGGCTCAAGAGGGTCATGTGATGCATTGAAGGATGATGGGTAGAAATTAGAGTGTGCCCATTCCAGTGACCTCAGACGTCAGCCTAGAACAGTCAGGGGAGGAGGGAGAAAGTAGGGATGGGGGAAGAGATAGAAAAAATAGAGAAAAATAAAACAATGCTGAAAGCATTTGACACTTTTGTACAACATTGTTGAGCTCTGCAGTTATTCTCCAAAGAATTCTCTGCATCAGTGAATTCTCATGCATATGAAGTGGATGGTAAAGCCAAGAACCTGAAAATGATGTAATTGAATATTTAAATTACATTATTCAAGAAACCTGCCACATGTTTTCCATTAAACATTTTATTCTACTAGCCAGAATTAATTCAGACCTTTACAATAATAAAGTTATGACTGATCAGTGATAGAAGCTTGGATTCCAACAACTGGATAATTTGGACTTTGGACAAAGAATTGATTTCTTAACCCAACATTAAGAAAAGAATGAGGTTGTCCATTTGAAAGAAAAGTATTATTAAACTTTTAACATTTAATCCTAACAATAAAAAGTCATCCTGATCTCTGTTTTCCACTCAAAGCAATGGAAAATGGTTTAATTTTCCATTAATATTTTTTTCTCATGATTTAGTTTTATTGATGTGACAGACTAAGAAGGGTTTGTTATGGTGATGTAATTATCCAAGATTCCTTAGAACCTTCCACCCCTTCCCTTTTGTCGTGGTAGCCTGGTAATTTGACAATTATCTGGGCTGTGAAGGTTGAGCATAACAGTGTGAATCCAAGGTCAGTTCATACATGCTTACATGCATCAATGATGAGAAGTATTTTCTTTACTGGTCATAATATTACTTAACTTTAAATTCTGATGTTTGCAAAAGTATATGGAAAGAGTGGATAGTGACCTATAATCTTGGTTCCATGAAAGGTTACAATATGGCCTAAGACACAACCGCTTTTGGATGAGGTGAAATTCATTTACAATATATTTCTGAAATAGACCACTTTCTGTTATTTAAACAAATACAGTTAAAACCATATTAAAAATAAAAAAGTATTTTTTATTTTTAAAAGTAAAAAAAGTTGTATTCAAATATACTTGTTTTAAAACATTGTCAGCATTAACTTAAGATAATACAATGGGAGGGAGTTAATTAATACTGTCTAACTTTTACAGTACAAGTTAAAAGATTAAGTCAGATATACCAGCTTTAAAACATTGCCAGCATTAACTCATGTGATAATACAGTGGGAGATTTGTAAATTCTCATGCTTGCTATGAAAGTGCCATCAGGATCATTATGATTTTCTCCTTGTTTGTCTTTGAAAGAACTATTGATTGTCCTCAGCTATTAACAATTAAAGTATGTCATTTTATACTACTGTACATGCATCACATTATTCCAGCTTCCTAGTCAACAACATTGCTACAGTATATAGTATTTTTAAGAGTTGTTCTTAATAGAACCACAAAGCTGAATCAACAACCTTTACTAAGCAAACCTGGTTAATGCAAAGACAGAAGAACAATACAGCTGGAGTCTATTGGAGTGTGCATGCTAAAAATTACACTACATCATATCTACATGTACAATATTTAGGTAAAAATGTTTTGCCCAAAAGCTACATTTATGTTTAAGTTAGTGATTTACAGGAATAATTTTAAATAGATCTAAAGGTGTACATCAGGTTAACAAGGTGAAGACTGCTGTAAGCTTCAGAAAATGAGGCCAGTTAGGGCTTCAGGATGTAGACATGGATGAGGGTTCATTCCACATGGCTGCCACGTCTCTGAACCTGCCAGTGGAACCGTGGAAAGCAACATCTATTAGTAATTTGGGTTGCTATACTGGTTGCGCTACTTCTGAATTGTATCCATTGTTTTAAGGAATTTCAAAGCACAGAGCAATGTGAAATTTCTACATGCTTATCTTTTCTTATCTTTTTCAAGTGGTCTCGGTTCTCACTGATGGAGAATCTCTGGTGGCCCTTTTATGACTCCCTACTTTATGCTTCTCTGTCTTCATCTGCAGTAATGTAACATAGAAGCTTTAAAGCCTAAAGAAACTCAGTTGAAAACAGTGTGATCCTAAGACTACAGCTGGAAGTATTGTGGATACCAATTAAGTCAGGGTACTAAAAGAAAAAAAAGTTATACTACATTTTAATTCAATGAAGCCCTAAGTGTTACACCCAGTAAATTTATAACAGAACGTTTTCTGGACAAACGGATCAAGGGCAGAATGACCATGAGCTAGTTAGCAGTTGGTACAGCAAGCAAGGGACATTACCTTGCGTTGATGAGGTACTGGGCAAGGCTAATGTTGGCAGGGGTTCCTGTGATGGTAATCTGACGCTCTGTTGAGCCTTCCATGGCATTAGCGATTTTGATCTGTGCTCCAGACATCTGCCGGATCTCGTTGATTTTGGTTCCCTGGCGCCCGATTATGCAGCCTATTAGCTGGAAGAAATTGCAGAGGTTCTTAAAAGGAAAAACAGTGTCTGAAGCCCAAATCTTATCCAGATTTCACAGGAATTCCATAGTAGCCATTAGCCTTTACCATCAATTTAGTATAAATTCCGTAGGGTCTATGAAACAAACTGCCAATCCAAAAGCTGAAGTTCTTTGACTTGACTATCTGCTAGGATCAAGTGATAATGGATAGCAACAATGGACTGAATGGTTCTGTTGGTTTATTATTTTTCTTTCGTTACACTAGTTTATCCATTATTGAGCATTTTACTCTAATATTAAGAGTAAATCATTGTGATCCCACATGGAACTTTATACAACAGCAATTCCTGGCTGTTCGCAAGCAAGCATCTGTCTCTTTGGTACTGTAGATGTAAAATGTTTAAAAACAATAGAGCTACAGATAATTAAGACTGATGAGATCTTAAAGGATCTCAGCTGGTACATTGCTTCCTGTAGTGCACAGAACAACGTCAGTAAAATCTTTGATGCAGCAAGAAAATGTTCACACAAAAGGAGAGGCAACTTAAGAACACAGCTATAATCTGCAAGGCACAATTTGCAAGTGCTATACTCACATCATTGGGAATGGTGAGTTCATGAGTACTGGCCGGGGGATTGGCATCCAGACCTAAAGTGAGGTAATGGAAAGGATAGCATAAATAGCATTGTGAACAAACATGATCTGCATGGTGTTTTGATCAGTTGGCTATGGTCTTCTAACTCTCGAAGAACAGGTTCCATGATCACAGAGCTGGAATAGGCTGGTTGCCAAGCTAGGGAGGTATCTGGATTCACAACAGAAAACAGTGGTGTTAGTTTTCTTGGAAATGAATTGCGCTGGGGTTAAAAAGAGGGAAAATGACTTTGGAGTTCATTTGATGTTGAGTGTTTATTGAATGGATGAAAAAAAAATATTACAAAAATGCTTATTTTCCTGAATCTTTCATCAAAGAGTACAAAACATCCCTGAACCTACAGGTTGTGTATATTTTTGCTATCAGAGAACTTCATTTAGAACAAATGTGAAACAATGACACAGAGATTACCCATTGATACAGCAGGGCATTTATCCTTAGGATTACATCCTGCCATGGATTTAAACCCACAACCCCCTAATCTGGAGATCAGAGACCTAATCACTACTGCATTTCACAGCCATGTAAATATATTACTTGTCATTGTCAGATAAAAGCACTGCACCAGTTGATTGGAAATGCTGGACAATTACAAGGCAAGTAAAGAAGAGGGATGAACAATGTTACAAAATTTTTTAAATTGAATAATGTGTTGTATCATTCTTACAATTACTACAGAACTTTTTCAATTTTGTAATACAATTTAGACATGCAACAATGCTTTTGAACTTTAAAATAAATTTGTATTAAACTTCATACATAAGAAAAAAATGCATTTTAAGTAAACTATTTATCTGAAAATCTATGAAGGATGCTCTTACTGTACTGGCAGTCTTTCTGTATGTCACACACTTAAGGCATTTATGCATCTATGCTGTACAACCTCAATAGGATGATATAAACTTTTTTTATCTTTTGAACCTATAATGTAGAGTTTTCTAAAAGAAAAAAGTAGTATATGATGAGAAATTGTGACTCTGCATGCAAATAAAACAGTAAAGCATCAATGATGCCTATTAAAAATACTAATACATCCAAAAATATTGAAACGCAGGACAGATTTCTGTAATTCAACTTAGTTCAACTAAGTTCACAGTAACAACCTTTTAATGAAGAAGAAACAAACTCTGCATAGGCATCTTCCAAAACATGGAATAACCTTAAAATGTTGTAATCTATTTGAATCCAAACTATCTGAGTTAAAGATTTTTTAAATACAGTATACTATAGTTTAAACTCTGAGCTTCAATGTAAAAAACCTTGAGGTATCTTTCACAAAAAACTCCTAGTATGATGAAATACACCTTATTTATAGGTTTATCATTGCCCACAGTGCATGTACTTTCAAAAAAAGTTGTAGTTTCAAAAGTACAAATTTTGAAAGTAGTACTGTAGGTTGTTACGCTGAATTTGTTCACCTCCAACCATTTATAAAACTGCAGATTACTTTTGTAAACAATTTAGAAGTTTGTGAGTAAATGTGCACTTTTGATACCTTTTGGAAAGTGTCTGTAGCAGAAATGACTATGCTGTCTGAACATGATTGATACAGTAGAAGAAGTTCCTATGACTACCTAAGAGAGTTATCTCTTAGTCAGAGCTTAGTTAGAATGTAAGGATATAATCAGAAGGTAATTTATTGAAACTCCTTGTGATTCTTTTGCTTGATATGTTTCCTTAACCAAAATGGAAGAAATGTCTATAGTATATCCAGCCATGCTACTATTGTTTCAACAAAAAAAGCAAAAGTGGAACTATAGAACTGTTTAAAAAAACACATCAATATTATAATTTTTTCTAACATTTTATCTGGATTCAGATAACATTTGTTCTTGTGTGGTCTGGGGAGGTTTATGTATTCAGCTACAGTATATTTGTCCTTTTTTGTTTTAAATGTTTCTAATGAATTACAAATGACTGGTTAAAAATAGCTTTCAGATACACGGAAACAGATTTGCTCCCTGCTTGGCTAAAAATGTCACAAGTGCATATATTGAATGTGATTCACTTGCATATTTATGAGAGTTTCACAACTGGACTTTAGAGTACTTCTGCATGCACAGTTAAAATAGGATATCAAAGCAAAGTAATAAAATATACTCAAAGTTTTATGTACATTATACAGTGTACAGTATGTGCCATATATGATACATTATGTGTATGGTGTTGTATGCTTTGGAGGCAATACAACTTTAACCAGATAAGGTGTTCATGGCAAACTCAAGTGGTGAAAAATTGAAAGATGCTTTTTTGTGCATTTTCTTGAGAGGATCAATCTCACCTGAAGGTGAGTCAATTTCATAGAAGAACTAAGCAGTCAAGCAACTGAAAACAATACTTTCAATCTGAACCTTTACAGTTGTCACAAAAACTGTATTAATGACTTTAAATGTGAAAGTTGGAACAAAAAGTTTGAATCTAAGTTTATTTTAAACATAAAAGCAACAAGGAGTCCATGTCAGTATCAGTTATACTCATTTAGCTTTTTTTGTATTTAATCTCTTAGGGTTTAGGAACCTGATGGTATCCTTTGCATCTAGTTCTTAAATTTAAAAAGCATTACAATGATTTTGATAAAAAGCATACTGTATGTCCCAATAAAATAATGTGAATTGTGAACGAAAGACATTTAGTAATACAGTTTCCCATCCAACATCGATGCTGAAAACTGCAGTGTTGACCTGTTTGGATTTGCAAGGTCAAAGGAGGAAGACACTGTGAAGACATGCTCTGTTAAACAAAGCCTTCGGTCACGTAGGCCTTTGTTAACCTGACAGGAAAAAAGTCCTTCCATGGCCAGGAATTGAGCTCCCCTGTACCTGAAGGATAAAAACCTGGGGGCCTGTCAGAGCATAGGGACATGGAATGGAACAGACAAAACAAAAAAGATACCACTTGAATGTGGAGAGCAACCACCAGGGTATGTTGTAAAGAACAACATAAAAAGATAGAGAAAAGAGAGAAAATCTACAGGTACAAAGAGAAGGAAATTTGATAAAGGGCTTCTTGGGTACGTACCAGGGAAAGCAGGGGTGGTCTGTCCAAGGGGAGTAAAGGGGGTTTGCTGCATAGCCAACTGGTGGAGCTTGGTCAACTGCTGAGGGGTAGGAGGGACATTAGAACTAAGAGGTTATTGTTTTATAGCACAGGTCACACCAAAATTAAGAACATAACTCAACTAAGAAAAGAAAGAAGCCATGACAAACCATGGTGGAGAAAAGAAAGCGAAAAACTAGAGTAGGACTTGGCCTGTCCATTCCGTCCTTTAGAGTTGAGAAAATTGTTTTTGGTTACTGTTGCTCACACAGGATGCTGGTTTGATTTTTTTCTTATTCTCTTGAGGTGGAATAAGTGAAAAGAGTCTGAGCCAATGGGGAAATTATCTGTATTACTGTCATTACACTGTAATGACTTGCATGTTTTACTAAGTTAATGAATGCATTTTTTTTACTGTTTGAGGTATCTAATGATGAACTTTTTCCGCCTTTAAGGCTTTTATTTTGTAGAAAAATGAGTCTCTCCTACTTTTGGGACAAAGGTGTTCAAGACCTATATTACACAATAACACACTAATATATTGCACTAGATTAATATAAATAATTTAATATTAAAAATAGTAATATTTTTAGAACACATATTAATAAATATCCCTTTCTAAATCTGGCCAGGTGAAGGAGGAAATCCTGAAGTCATTCTGAGAAAGGATAACATTTTCCAAGCCTTCTGAAATATGGATATTTGAAACATATTTCCTATGTTTATATTATTATCCCATTAAAAAACAAGTGGCAAGAACCAATATTTATAAAATTGTGTAAAATTGTGTAAACTAGTATGTCCCACAGATGTTGGAAATTAGCTGGTGATGGATCTCTACTCCTAACAGATTGCTCCATCTCACCCCATAGATGATTGATTGGACTGAGATCTGGTGACTACAGCCCCACGTCCCAGGTTACATAAATCTTTCGTCATTCCCATTTTCCCTCTGAATTGCACACACTCATTAGGTACCTGCCTACCTGCTTTAAATAACATTGTCTGCACTAATAGTGCTGATTAAGCAGTCAATTACGTGGGAAGGGCAGGTGCACCTAATAAACTGGGCATTCAGTGTAAATGCTTCGTAAAATGAAAAAAAAATCTTAATTTGAATTTTATAATCCATTCTGCCAACAATTAAATTAAAGAACAGAGAAGCAACTTAGTCAGGATATATCATTCTGTAGTAAATTAAACAAAAGTATAGTAAATTAACTTGTCCGTTGGAATGTACAGTACTGTAACCAGATGTCAAGACAAGGAGCCAAGGTACAGTACATCTCCAAGCATCATGGAAGACTAATATCTTTACATACAGTACCAAAAGACGTGTTGAGAGCTTGACAAGTGAATCATTGATCGAAACAGCATCATGCTGGCTCACAAACATGTGGCAGCGCTTTGAAAGAGACTCCTCATTTCTACCTTCAATAAGATGAATATGCTGGTGTAACATCCCTGCACTTCCTCACAGTACGAAAGAGAGAATCCCACATATTACAGCACATTGAAACTTCCTCCAAGTTTCAATGTGCTGTAATATGTGCAAGTAAAAGGTGACATTTTATTCAGCTGTCCAGTACAGCTGGTTGCAAGAAAGTGACAAATCAGTGTGAAAACATAGTTTAAAAATTGGAAATACCTTCTGTGTATTCTTTCAAAACATGGTTAATATATCTGCAAACAAAATGAAATTCTGCAGTTTACTCCGATGTGCACTTTCTTTGTGGTAGCCATACACTGCAGTTGTAGGGGGGATTCTGGTTGAATATTAAGATACAGTATAAGCCAATACCTTAAACTTTTCGATTACCAACAATCTACTATTTAAACTAAGACTAAAACTTACCAACCTTATACTACTTACTGCATATTAAAGCTACTGGTTTTCTCAGTCAGCACCTTCAGTATTATAAACGCCTTCTCTCTATCTATTACAGATTAAAACAGTGAGTGATAAAGCATGTCCTTAAAGAAGATAGCCTATTGAACATTAAAGGTTTTATATAAGAATCTTACCTCAACAACGCATCCCTACTTTATCTTATGATGGTTAATATGGGTTGCAGTCAACTTGTGTTGACTTCAGACTTCATAACCAGCCAATCCAAAAATAAAAAGATCTTAGATAAGATTTGCCAATTGATCGAAATAAATGTCCAAAAGAATGAACCCAGAACCTTTCCTGAAAATAACAACGGGGAGTTGTCTGTTTCCATTTTTACAGGCCAAGTCCTAAAAAAGTGTTGGCTCAAAAAACAGGAGGCATAGGTTAAAAGAGTAATTTCAGCTTGTAATATGGCACAAATTACACATCAGAAATGGTATTAATATTATTAATTAATATTAATATTAGTCCTTGTTAACATAAGCATGCAGAATTCGTTAAAGATAGTGTGGGGGGTGAATGAAGACTGGGAACTCACATCTGGATGTGGGATGGCATACTGTCCCTGAATAGTGTAGGCCTGTTCAAAAGAAAAATACAAAACGGACATTAGAATCATCTCATTGAAACTGTTCAACTGTTCTTAAACATACTGTCATAAACACTTATACAACTGCTCTCTTCACTGTCACCCCATTTTTAGTTTTCTAAATAACACGTCTTAAATATAATACATCAGACTATAAAACCAAAAAATTCATTTTCAAAAATTAAATTTCTATGGAGCCTAGACCATCCAGTATTAACCAGTCATGCAATGAATAATTTTGCAGAACATAAAAGTTTGCTTTTTGGCAATGCCTAAACTCATTCTCAAATTTTCAGTTCAGACCTCTGGCCTCACTTATTGTTTTGCTACTGCTGATGTGTTACATCACTAAGTTTCATGTTGACACTTTTTTATATTTAACTGGATTAGTTTTGACTGTAATGAAATAATTTCCAGTTAATCTGCACACGGCTCAGAATATACTGTATTTGTACTGGACATAGGTCCTTATGAAGACTGATAAAAGTTATTTTCAAATGCTTGCTTGTTTTTCAAGAAACATGCAACCAACTCCAACTTCTGCAATTAGAGTTAACAATCTGATAGTTCTGTATTAGAATTATGTTTTTTTTTCTAAAACTACTAAGGCAAATAACCTGATTCATCAAATTATCCATCAATTATGAAAAAACATTTTTTTCTGGTAAGGGATGTCACCTATCCCAGAAATAACTGGATAGGACACCCACCCAACATATACAGTGCTGTGAAAAAGTAAGTACACCCCATGAAAATGTCAATTTATTTCAACTTATTTGCATGTACTGTATGGATATTTGATCTTCATTTCAACAGTATTGATCAATAAAGGTGATCTAATTTAACAGGTAACAATGAAAATTATTATTTGCAATCATTTATTCAACAAACAAAGTCAGAAATGCAATTCTCTGCTGTGGAAAAAATACGTACACCCCCTTACTTCAATAGCTGGTGTTGCCCCTTTTGGCAGAAATCACTTCTTGTAGGCGTTTCTTGTAATTGTCTATCAGTCTCCTCTATCGACTTAGAGAAATTTTTGTCTACTCCTCCTTACAGAACTCCCTCAACTGTGTGATATTTGAGGGCTTTCTTGCATCCTGACCGTCTGAGTCCAGGGCTCGAAGCGGCTGGCCTCGTTATCCTGTTTTTAACTCCCTTCCGGTTCCTAATCCCATTCAGGATTTTAACCTTGTCTGTCTTGGATGGTTCTCCTGGCACCTGGACCCTGGACTGCGCCCTGGTTTCCCTTTTTGAATTGTTTGGACTTGTTGCCCTGCGCCACGCCCCCGAGCACCAGATCACCGTCGTCACGCCCCCCAGTCTGTTATCACGTCCTGATCCTCATCGTGTTTTCCCAGTTGTCCTTTTCCAGTTACTTCCGGATTACACCGTCTGCATAGGGTCCTAAACTACGCACTTCACGGGAGCCTGGACCGGCACCCATGACACTCAAAGACCTCTTTTGATCTTGGCATGATGCAGTCACACACTTCAATTGCTAAGACCAAACCAGACCACAAGTTTCTGATGTTTATATAAGGCAGTGCCCCCCAAGTTACACTTGTAGCGGTGAGGCTTATTAATAAGGCAGAATTAAGTGTTTCTGAGCTTTCCCAAATTAGGCCTCATTTCTCTGTTCATCTCTGTGGTGCAGCCACAGAGAAACCATGCAGGCT